AGCACACCCATCATCCAGCACTCACACGCACATCATCCAGCACTCACACGCCCATCATCCAGCACACACACGCACATCATCCAGCACACTTACACACACACATCATCCAGCACACACACACATCATCCAGCACACACACACCCATCATCCAGCACTCACACACCCATCATCCAGCACTCACACACACACATCATCCAGCACTCACACACACATCATCCAGCACACGCAGTCACACACACATCATCCAGCACACGCAGTCACACACACATCATCCAGCACTCACACACACACATCATCCAGCACACGCAGTCACACACACATCATCCAGCACTCACACACACACATCATCCAGCACACGCACACACTGCATTCATTATACACACTCTTCACTCGCTAAAAACACACTACATTAACTATACACTCACTACAAACATACTACATTCACTATACACACTCTGCATTCATTATACACATTCTGCACTCACTACACACTACATTCACTACAAACACACTGCATTCATTGTACACACTCTGCACTCACTACACACTACATACACTGCATTCATTGTACACACTCTGCACTCACTACAAACACACTAAATTCATTATATACAATTTGCACTTACTACAAACACACTACATTCATTATACACACTCTGCACTCACTACAAACACACTACATTCACTATACACACTCTGCATTCATTATACACACTCTGCACTCACTACAAAACACTACATTCACTATACACACTGCACTCACTACAAACACACTACATTTGTTATACACACTGCACTCACTACAAATACACTACATTCATTATACACACTCTGCACTCACTAAAAACACACTGCATTCATTATACACACTCTGCACTCACTACAAACACACTACATTCACTATACACACTCTGCATTCATTATACACACTCTGCACTCACTACAAAAACACTACATTCACTATACACACTGCATTCGCTATACACACCGCACTCACTACAAACACACTACATTTATTATACACACTGCACTCACTACAAATACACTACATTCATTATACACACTCTGCACTCACTAAAAACACACTGCATTCATTATACACACTCTGCACTCACTAAAAACACACTGCATTCATTATACACACTCTGCACTCACTAAAAACACTGCATTCATTATACACACTGCACTCACTACAAACACACTACATTTATAATTCATACTCTGCATTCACTACAAACACACTACATTCATTATACACACCCTGCACTGCACTATATGCATAGGAATGTAATTTTTTTTTTTTTTTTAAGGGGGGGGGAAGCGGGAATCTTGGGTGAGTTCCCACACTTTTTTCCACAGGACTTGACCCCTGCATACACACACACTGCCACAAAGCTACACACGTGCACAAATATATAAACACGTAATTATTTTTATATTTTTAGTGGATAGCCTGGAGTCCTGCTGCAGACCGATAAGAGTAAATGTAATACTTAACCTAACACGCAGAGTGAAAACCACCAGTAGAAATAGAGGCAGAAAGAAAGTCCCTAAGCTGGTCCTTAGAATGGCCAGATAAAAGAGATAACTACAAGATACGTCAGAAACAAGCCAAGGTCAAGGTAAGGCAGAAATGCACGATAACGAGGAGCGAAGCCTAGTCAGAGAAACCAAAAACCAGAATAGTCAAGAGCAATCTGGGTCAAAACCAAAGAACTATCACAAAAGTATACAGGAACATAGTGACACAAGGCACACTAGGAATCACAACAGGGCACTGTTTTTAGGGCAGACTGGGCTTTTATATGATTGGGGGCGTGATTAACTGCGTCCCCAAATGGTACTTGTGCGCTGGGCTCTTTTGTGTAGAGTACTCCTGACGTCATGACGCCGGCACACATGCACCGCGTCATTAAAAGGGGTGAACACTTAGCGACTGTTGTCCCTGAGGCTGAGTGGAGCCTCTCCTGGCATGGAAGCAGCGGTCCAACCGATCCCGGTGTCGGCGGACTGACAAGGTAAGTGGGAGTGAGCTGACAGTGTAGATCTGGAGCTGGGCCTCTGCTTGCTTCTCTACGTTCTCCTCTGCCTCCTCTCCTCCCCCCATGTTCCTTCTCCCCGCCTCCCGCACATCTCTCCCTGTAGCTGAGAGGAAGTGATCTGACCTCATTTCCTCCCAGCACTGGCAATGTAAAAGAATGCCTGGCTGCACTCTTAAATGGCTGCGGCACATGAATGGCTTCTGTTCAGCAATAGCCATTGGATTGGCCATGAATTCAGCAATAGCCATTGGATTGGCCATAAGTGCTGATTGCACCCCCAGCTGCACTGGCGGAGGATCTGCAGTTGCCTGCACTCAACCTCATGAATACCTGCATGGCTTAGAGGCATGGGTAGGCAACATTCGGAGTGCCAAAAGTTACCTATCCCAGAACTAGAATATTTGGCCTGAATGTATAAACAAAAAGAACAAAAAAAGGTGCCTGCACACTATCCTAATTAACACCACTAAACAGCTAAACCATGCCAAACAAAATTGCAGATAGGGTTAAGCACAATTCAGCGTGGCCAATTCCTCCATCTTCCCAGTATTCATCATAACCTCTCATTGTATAGAGCAAGATATATAGTATAATACAAAATAATTTGCATCTCATTTAGGAGTATCTATTTGTCATACAATTCAGACATCATTACACTCAGAATCAGTATTTCAATGGTTTAACAAATGTTACTTTGGGCAGATAACACAGAGATGCGTGTTGCCATGGACACCTGGAAAAAATCCAGTGTATATGTTTGAGGAGAAATGCAAATGTGTTAATATTGCTTCCTGGTTAAACTAATGAAGTGTAAGAAATCACCATTCCCAATCTCTGAATTGTACTTTAACTGTATTTGTGATCTGTCTATTAATACGGTTTTCATATTGTTATACAATACATTAATAATAGGTTTTGATGTGTACATATATATTATTGTTTGTAAATAGATCTGGTTTTATAACGCAAGGTCATTTAAATACTCAAAACAGTGCTGGCCATTGTGCTCACCGGGCAAATGACGCATGCCCACGTGTGTTTCCCCAGCAAGAAGGCATGTGTCAAAAACAGACCGCCCCTACAGAGGTTGCCAGGCTGACAGCCTGACCCCCATGGTGGAAGAACAGTACCCCAAATGCTGTCCTAGCAAATTCAAGAAGGTTGGCACCTATACTTTGCAAGTTTTACTCCAGAGAGGGTAGGGGACTGACCCAAACCATCTTTAAGGCGGCTTTGTCACCCTATACTTACCATACTTTCATCTGTTCCTCTTCTCTTCCAAAATGAAGATCTTATCAATTCTGCATAGTATTTTAGTTGGGCAGAAGTCAACATTTTCACGGTTTCAAAATGCTCATCAGTGTTTCTTGGAGCCCACATCACAGTAAACCCTAATAATATTGTCTTTTTCTATATATTTGATCTTTAGCAGTCCCCAAACAAAGTCAAGTAAAACCTATATGGCCTCAGGTGCATAATGTTTCCATTTAATTTGCATATGAACGCATATGAGTGGCTGATGAGTTGTCATAGATACAAATTGCTCACAAGGTGCCTAAAAATACACCAGGTAATATCAAGGGCCTATATATAATAAGCAGTTGGGTATTTAATAGTAGGAAATAAATGCAAGAGTATTGGCCCTTGTTCCAGTCACTTGTAATATGCATCTGTTTAAGATGGCTACCAGGCTGTGTCCTGTCAGTCCCTTAGACCCTGCAAAACATTGCAGTTTTAGAGAAAATTCTGCAAAGCCCCCAGTAGGCGACAGTGCCACTTTAAAGCAGCTCTGTCAGTTTTGTTTTAATATGTTAGTATGTCAATAATCCCTTCAGGTCAACAAAAGTTGACAAAGGGTGGAGCTTTAGTCAAGCTCCACGACCTTTGTTAGCTATGTCATTGGCCATCCTGTCCTTTACTCAAATCCATCCACGTCATGGATTCTCTCTGTTGACTCTCGTGTGCTCAACCCATATCCATAGAAAGCTACTGAAGGTCCTGGACATGTGCGTAATTTCATGTTCATGTCCAAGGAAGGGCAGAAGTTGGATTTTCCTTGCCGCAACCATCTTATAAACTTTCAAATGATGACACTGTGATTGGCACAAACATAAAAACTGTTCTTTATGCTGGTTCTAGCTCTAAAAAAAGGCTGTGGGGGAAGAGGTGAGGAGTTAGAGGGAAGTCAGGGCCTGATGCCGTATTTAGTAACAGAGCTGCTCTAAGCAAAATAAGCATACAAATAAATTTTAGTGTAGTGATTTATTTTACATTATGTGTCACAAAAAGCAGATTTGTGTCTGCAGATTTAATTTTCTCTATAGAGGAATACAAAATCATTTATTTTCTTTTATGTTTTAAATTAAGGTCAAATTTGCACTTCCTGACCTGGTGATGAACAATTCAACAGCATGGATATAAGTGGGTGTTTAATTATCTAACAGGTATAACCTATTTATGAGCTGCGACTTTCAGTAGCACAATGTGACCAGAACTGTGGGAGAGAATACTAGCTGTTGCTAATGTGTAAGGAATACAGCCAGTGGGGGAGGGAAGGGAAAAGGACAAAGGATATAAGAGGGGGGAGGGGGAGGGCACAAATGAAACCAGGGAAAGGAAGGATGACTGTAATGACAATTTTCCAGAATAAAATTAAGGCAACTGTGTATTTCTATAGTATATTCTTGGATTTTTTTTGGAATTGTATGTTATCTGTTTGTCGAACATTGTTTTGTGTTTTAATGAAATAAAAAAGACAAAAAACAAAAACATGTGGTTACACTGTTTAAGGATAGAATATATAAACAAACCATTATGTAGTGTACATACACCATTTAGTGGTTTGAGAAGTTGTTTTTTATATATTTATTTATATACAATAGCGGCAGTTTAAAAATAATGGCATTCTTCATTGCTTTTTCTTAAATTGGGTTCTACAATAGAGTTTCCTTCCTCAGTACTCCTTTCCATGATGATTGGAAGATTTCTAATTAAAACATTAAATGAGTATTTTAAAATTTAAAGAAGCTCTGTCACCTTTAAGGATTTCTTTCATTTTTTAAAAAAGATCCCAGATGGTGACTTTGTAGACTGGCTGCAAGGTCTGATCTGCCCTTACAGCCGCTGCCTTCATCCTACTTTGTCTCAGTATATCTTTTAACTGAGTTGGAATTTCAGTGAAATTCCAACACAGTCAATATGAGTATCTCGGAAAGATTTTATCTTTATGATATACTGAAATATTTAAGCAATGCCTATGGTGCCGAATAGAAATTTGGGATATCAGGGAGGCTTGGACCCAGAGCATAAGACGCCCAAAGTACGTTACAGTTTTCTTTAACACTCCTCACTGCAACAGGCTAATTAAAGTGCATATAATGCAACACCAGATGAGCATACAGCCCTGAGTTCAGTGGTTTAGAAGCCCAAAATCAGTTTACATGTTCTCACAGATGAGCTAGGTGATTCCAGGAAATTAGAACTGACACATGCACTTCATGGCTGTGAACATTATAACTGCTCTCCACTGCACCCCCTCTAATTCAAGGACTATACTTGCTAATGGTGGCAAGTATGCGGCCCAGCTGTGCCCATCATTTTCAGCAGTATACTTATTCATGCTGTTGGCATGCAGAAATCTGATCTGTATTTGAAGGAACACTCCCACCCCCCATTGCAACTACAGCTCATTGAAGTTGTTATGGGGCAGGACTGCTTGAGACCAATGTTACCCTCAGGGGTTAAGCCAGTTTTATTATTTAAACCCGGATTTGTGGCTCTGGCACCCTATACTACTTCCCCCCACCCAGCTCCTTTATTTTCTGCTTTTGCAGAATGACTATGTTCGGATGTACTATTTCTCTAAGGGGTAGGGGAAGTGAAAGGCTGAGAGTGTCAACTTTGGTGATAAACTGTTGCAAATCGGTTTCATCCCTGAAGGTGCCCAGAACTGCACAGCAAAAAAAACTTCAATGGCCATACATTATTATGTTCCTTTAACACAATGTTTGAGTGATTTGCCACTGCAAGCAGAAAACAAATAAACAGTAAAATGTAAAACATATTTTTTCTTAAATCTATTTCGATGTAGATTGAAATCTCCTTTTATGTGTACTTTATGATATTCTTAAATAACAACTGGCTTATCAGTGGTTTGGGTTTGTTTGTATTTCTGCAAACAGGTCTGTTTGACCTTATGCCTTTCTTTTGTATTCTAATTGTTGGAAGTATCCAAATGTAATTATGTTCAACCAGCTTTTTGTTTGCTGGACATGGTGTTATACATAGAAACGAATTAGGAGCAATTCAGTAAATATACATGAACTCACCATAAACACAACAATGCACTATTTATGAGACACACTCACTCTAACCCAGTTGCCCACCATGAGCAGTATACAACACTGTTAGGGGATACAGCTGGAATGTAATAGGGAAAAATACACAACATAGTGTAACACAGTAAAAATGTGCAATTCGACGCCAGAAATTATTATACTCACAAAAGACTAACGTGTATCTTCACGTAAAAGTGCCTCACCCAATCTTTGGGGGGCTGGTACTAGTAACACACCCACACATTCAAATTCTGCCTCTGGAGTGTTATCATTAATACAGCTTCTAATAATAAAAGTAATAAAAGTATACGGCAAAAATGTATTTATTCAAAATAAATATTTAAAAAACAAATAAGATTAAAGTTCCAACACATTTCCACCCAAAAGTGACTTCATCCGGGACCAAATACAACATTTATGTGGTGCCTGTGGAAGTCTACGAGTGCTATAATTTCTGGCGTTAAATTGCGCAGGTTTACCGTGTTACACAAAGTTATGTCTTTTTTCCTGTTAGATTCCAGCTGTGTCCCCAAACAGTGTTGAGTTATTTATTAAACCAGGAATTGTCAGTAACTGGCCAGACACTTGCAAATTTTAGGCCAAAATAGAGAAAGTGTAAAATAGAAGTACTCCATCTCGGCTATTATCAGAGTTCTGTAATTTTGGTAGACATTGTGAAATTCCCTTATCAATACCCAAGTTTAATTTAAAAAGAAGTGATTCTATGTACCTGGGTAGATGTGTATAAACAGCAAGCACGCATGTGTGTATGGCCCCAATAGGCTGCTTATAATTTTCCCAGTTATGCATTACATTATAAGGAACGTTTAAGAACAATGAATAAAACAGATGGTGGGCAGGATCACAGGAGACAGCCATTTACGTGATCTGCACATCTTCAAGGACTCCATACACTGAAGGAGGGAAATTATTAATTAATAATCCTTTGGGATCCTACTTTCATTAAGGATTTGATTTCAATTCGACTACAGTCACAGCAGGGCCATTTTAGCCTATTTTCCATTTGAATTTAATCAGTTTTTAGTGAATATCCCTGCATGTGCAAAAGCAAAACGATTTGCACATGAACAGTCTGAAACCACAATTATAGATAATCTGAAGACGTCTCTTAAATGCTTTGATACTGTAAATATAGGACTTTGTTTTTCCTCCCTTTGTTAATTAAAATGTCAATAAGGATTGTATGGGGCATGGGTGTTGGCTTTCTACATACAATACTAACTGAATGTATATTAAACTGAGGGTTCTAGAAAAAAATTACAAGTAAATGAAAATGTATTTAAAATTAAAATGCATAATTATTGGGTTTATGGTGTATCTATGATGTTTTTACACAACTATATGAAATATTTTATATATACAGTATATATATATATATATAATAGCATAATAATAATATATATATTTTTTTTCCTCTTGAATGCACTATCTGAACAATAATAGCTTATATTAGCCAAAGCAAATCATTGTGTTTTATATCTAAAGAAATCTCCTACAGCACACTGGCCGCCATTTTGTGTTTGCTATCTCCACGTAGCATTCGCTTGCTCCACAGTCACCATTTTGTACAGTTGATTACAGCAGCAGAATGAGGGAAGAGCGCATGCCCACCCAAAACCCCGCCTCCAAATCGCCATTTTGTGAGCACAGCAAAGGTGATTGGCAGGTGGAAGCTTGCCTTTCATTGGTTATTGCTTGTCATAGCCCCACCCTGTGCCAGGCCTCGCCCCTTTCCAGTTCCCATTTTGTAAAGCTGTGCTGTTAGAACTGCGTCATTTGGAGCTTGCTCGTCGAAGGATAAGGTTGGTGTGTATAGTTTGTTACGACTGGTTTACATTCTGTTTATTTTTTTAAATATATAAAAGTCATTTTCCCCCCCACTTATGTTGAACGTATTTCACGTGCATTACAGTAGCATATGTGTTACTATAGTTTATTTTTATTTTTTTGGTTTACTTTCAACACAAAATGTGAGTTTGATGGATATCATTTGAATACAAATTAGTCTTTTTATTTTTTATAACTGTACCCCTCAGTGTATGGTTATTCTGGGTGGTTAATGAGGGGGACTTTGTCTCCTCCTCTTGGCGAGGCAGTCGGCGCCATTTTGTAGCCAGCATGCTGATGGAGTTTATATTCCTATTTATAACTGATTTAGTTTACATTTCGATGTTTTGCATCTTGTACTCCCATTATAGCGACCTAAACGAGTGCTATTCATTTATTTTTATTTTTTTATCATGCTAAATCTGATTAGCCTGAGAGCACGCAGCAAAGCATAATAATAAATTAAGCAACAGATGTTACCGGTAGTAAGGGCTGGAAATTAGTTATAATACATTGGCATTGAATGCGAAATTGTATTAAATTTCCTTAAACTTCTAGTTATTTTAACTGTGTTAATAAGTGGGAAGCACTGTAGGGGGAGGTGGGGAGACACAATATGTGTTATTGGGTATCTTTTTGCTGTGCTTTTTAGCAAACAATGTAACAAGTGCCCCATACCGTCATCTATTAGACTTTATTTGAGCTTGCTTGTTCCCTGCCATCATTACTTGGTGGGGCTGGAGTGCTGTAATGGTGTTCCTTTAATAAGAGTATTCATTATGATCATATGATGTAACTAAATGTATCTTTAAAAGGGTACTCTAGGCTCCAGGACCATTTTCTCATTGTAGTCTGGGTATCCTGTCCATATTTCCCTAACCCTTAATGTAAAACATTGCAGGGTTAAGCCTGCCTCTAGTGGCTGTCTGAAATTTCACAGTTTGACTCAGTGAAAGGACACTGGAAGTCATGACATCCTGAATCCCCATAGGAAAGCATTGAGTCCATGCATATCTATGTGGGAAGGCCTGTGTGCACCAGGTGATTGCAGTGCACACACTATCCCTCACATTGAGTACAATACAGGTTACTCTAGGCCTCTTTGGCATTTACATTGTAAAACTGTTCTGAAGATGACCTATTCCTCTGCACATTATAACTTCTCTCTTTTTATATCTAGTGTGCATATTTCACTGCTTATAACTTACATTTGTTTTTATTTTTTCCCCCCAGCATTTTATTGCCCCTAGAAAAACAAAAATGAGTGGGTGTCGTGTATTCATTGGTCGTCTGAACCCTGCTGCCAGGGAGAAAGATGTTGAGAGATTTTTCAAAGGCTATGGTCGAATCAGAGATATTGACTTAAAAAGGGGATTTGGGTTTGTGGTAAGTGCTTTGTTGCTTTTGTGTATTGTATTTCTATATTGTCTGTTGTAGTTTCCAGCTGACAAATGTTATGATTTTAGTTAACTGGTGTATTAACTATTGCATAATTCTATTGTCTATATAATGTCGGCTATATGTGCTTGCATGTTTTCATATTCTGTAGATTAATTTCCCTATTTAGATCTAATTTGTGGTGACTGGCCCATTTTGATATGAAATAAAATTTACTTTTTTTTTTTATACTTTTGTCCTCATTTAGGAGTTTGAAGACCCAAGGGATGCAGATGATGCTGTTTATGAGCTTGATGGAAAGGAACTCTGCAGTGAAAGGTGTGGTTGTGTTTTATTTGTGTGTGTGTGTGTGTAGAGAGATATTATTCTTGTGTAGTCTTGAACAAACAAAGCTAATCAATTTTTCATTCCGCTGTAGAGTTACGATTGAACATGCAAGGCTTCGCTCAAGAGGAGGTGGTGGTGGACGAGGACTTGGCAGAGGAAGGTACCCTGATAGATTCAGCAGCCGTCGCCCACGTAATGATAGAAGGTAACTATGCTTTACCAGCTTTAAAATGTAGTTTGTCACAATCTTTAGGCTGTACCCACAATAATGGCTCTTTATTTTTCCTTAGTGCACCGCCCATCAGGACTGAGAATCGTCTAATTGTAGAAAACTTATCTTCTAGAGTCAGCTGGCAGGTTTGTTAATTTATGAATGGGGTGGTCACAACGTTGACTTCTGTATGCTGGTTAATTGGGTATTAAATGTCTGTGGGTTATGGGACAATTTGTTTCTCCATAATTTCAATCATAATTTTAACCAAATATTAAACCCTTTATTTGCCAGCCTATCTGTGTGTCGTTGGCCTTATGATGAGGAGCGCCTGTTGGTTATCGCTCTGTCTTGGTCACTTATGATTGGGCCGGGTTGAATTTGCCAGTTGGCCACCTAGATCGGTTGATGGTCTAGACATACTGGAGCGCTCCTTAAATTGCCAGGTTGCAGCGACCCCCTGAAAGTTAACGAGATCTGGTCCTTAAGTTGAGAGATCTTCTTCTGTAAAGATTCCGAATAAGAGGTCCTGGTCGAAAAGAGTTGAAAGATACGCAATTAGGTGGTCGTTGGAATCCTGGTCGCACTAAAGTCCCTGGTAACGCACAAGAATAGAAAATGATGGCCATCGTCCATAGTCTTCTAATAGGGAGGGTCGTTCGCCTTAAAGGCTTCCATCACTTGGGTAGCCCACAAGTGGGTGGCGAAGAGCCAGTCGGGCTTGTGTCGTGACAGTCTCTCCGGTCGCTTATTGCAGTTTGCTGATTCACTAGCCTAGGGAATTGTTATTGAAGGTAAAGTAAACCTACATTTTTAATGACCTATGCGGCACCAAATATCTTTATTATTCGTTGTATTTGATGCTAATATTAAGCATTTAAAGTATCAGGCCTTTTCTTGAACAGTAAACTAAACTTTTTATGCTAGTATTTTACAAACATTGTGCCCTTTTGCTGTTCTGAAGTTCCAAGAATGGTAACCATGCCAAGTCACCTTTTATCTAACACTTTTTATTCTTTCAGTAACTATTGCTTTATTTTTATGTCCACTATGTTTGTTTAATGAAATCTTTTGTCATAATAGGATTTGAAAGACTTCATGAGACAAGCTGGAGAAGTTACATTTGCTGATGCACACAGACCAAAGTTGAATGAAGGGTAATTATCATGCTGTGGTTATTTTCTCCCTCCTTGTAAAGAGCATTGAACAGCTTGCAACTGTAATGTTACAAGTTCTCTGATTTAAACTTGGAAATTTACATTTAGGCCCAATGTAGACCGAATCCATTTTAACTAACATGTGGTGTTTACTTTTGCAGGGTTGTTGAATTTGCATCATACAGTGACTTGAAAAACGCCATTGAGAAACTTTCTGGGAAAGAAATCAATGGCAGAAAAATAAAGTTGATTGAAGGCAACAAAAGACACAGGTATTTACTTTCTGGTATCTATATGTTAATGTATTTTTGTCTTCTGCATTCTGTTTTCTAACACTGCAAACTTTTAGTAGGTCAAGAAGTCGGTCCCGATCTCGTAGCCGAAGCTCCTCCCGCTCCCGCAGCCGTTCCCGCTCAAGAAGCAGAAAGTCTTACAGCCGTTCTCGTAGCCGCAGTCGCAGTGCTCGTAGCAATCGTAGCAATCATAGCAACCGTAGCAAATCACGTTCTGCTAGCAGGTCTCCTGTACCAGAGAAGAACCAGAAGGCTGGCTCTTCGAGTCCATCTAAATCACCTGCCTCTGTTGACCGACCGAGATCTCGATCAAGGTCTCGGTCTGTTGACAGCAGAAACTGAACTATTCACATCTAATTTTTTTTTTTTTTTTTTTAACAAAAAATTGTTTGTTTTTCACAAAGTAAAATCTAGATGCTTACTTATGTGGTAAGTATTTGTGGGGCTACTTAGAGCGGGAGATCTCAAATTTTTTTTTTTTTGTATATAATTGGACCACCAATGGACAAGAATCTTAAGCTTGTGTGACAAACTGCTTTTGTCCAATGTGTATAGTTCGTGTAAAAAACTCATTTAAATTTTTATTTTTTTTTCCCCATCCCTCTTCTCCTTTCTTTGACGTATAGACCCCTGATATTTTGTATATAGGCGTACTAGAGGTGCTGGTGTCAAACTAAAATTGCTGTACATAATGCAAGGATTTTTTTTTTTTTTTTTTTGTCAATCAACTTTTTTTTGTTTTTGCTGCACACAGTGTTTAATTTTGTGAATTAAATGCTAATTGCTTTAAATAAACTTTATTAATAAAAGTTGTTTCTTCATTCATAATTGTTTAATTACAACACTACATACATCTTAATCCTTGTTAGTTGGGAGAGGGTACAGAAATGTGATTTAGCTTAGTCCCCACAAGGGGGTGAAGGTGGGCAAGGGGCAAAGTTTAAAACTGGATGTATGTGTTAACTATATGCACAGAGTACGATTGTCTACAATAGGGATAGGCAACCTTTGGCACTCCAGATGTTGTGGACTGCATCCCCAATAATGCTCTTACACCCATGTTGGCAAAGCATCATTGGAGGTGTAGTCCAACACATTTGCAGTGCCGAAGATTGCCTATGCCGGGTCTACAATAAATGTCTACCAATGCAGGGAGCCTAAATAAAGTGGAGAATTAAACACAAGCCACCTTCAATTCCTGCATCTGAAACTGCATTTAGACATCAATATTACAAACACATACGCCAAGCAGGGATACTATGATCTGGAGTTGGTGTCATTTACCTGACAGGAAGTGCTCACGGAGTACAGAAAATCCGGCTCCTCTACTGTGAACTGTCTGCTCAGGGGCTGGGTGGTAACAAAATGAGGGTGACACAGGCACACACAATGGCTGGGGGGGACAAAGGGGATGGGGACGAAAAGAGTGTCTGCTCATGAAAGAGGCTGGCCATAGCAGCCACCAAAAGTAATAGAATTATAGGCACCCAGACCACTTTACATCAATGAAGTGGTTTGGGTGCCAGGTCCCTCTAGTGTTCACCCTGCAGCTGTAAACCTAGCAGTTTCAGATAAACTGCTATTTTTACACTAGGGTTAATAAAGCTTATAGTGGCTCTTACTGACAGGTGCTTCTCACTGAAAATCAGTGAGAAGACACTGGACGTCCATAGGAAAGCACAGAGTAATGCTTTCCTATGGGTATTTTGAATGCATGTGCGGCTCTTCGGCGCTGATGTCTTAAGGAGGAGTGTTCCTGGCGCAAGAGAAAGATAAGTGTTTTCAGCCCTGATGGTGGGGGACCTAAAGGCCCTATAGTTTTCCTGGCACTATAGTGGTCCTTTAAGGCGAGCAGAACTGACATGGGCTGGATTTTGGTCGTGGTTTTTATTTTATTTTTTTAACATTTTAAAGTTGGGTAGGCGAGGATGTCAAATACAGGATGAGCTCTTGCTCCAACCTCAGCTAGCAAAGCATTATGGGACTTGTATGACAAAGTGGGCAAAACTAATGTTTGCACCAGGCCATTTCTATGTTGGTTCTGCCACTGCATGATCAAATGTAACAGTTAAGCATTATAGTGATTGTTGTACAGATGAGAGAGAAAAGCTGAGTTTCCTGGTACTACCGTGGCCCTGGTTCAGCTCTGTTCATGCTCCTCCTCTGCCACCAGGCTGGTGAACCCTAATGTGCCTGCGCTGTAATGGCCGTGCTCGCATTAGGATTTCCCCATAGGAAAGTTTTATTTAATGCTTTTCCATTAGGATTCCGGTGACGCTGGAAGTCCTAATGCATTGCATATCAACCCGGAAGACCCTCTAGTGGTCGTCTGGTAGACAGCCACTAGAGGAGTTAACCCTAGCAGGTAATTATTGCAGTTTATAAAATTGTAATCATTACATGCTCTGGGTTAAGGATCATGAGAGTTTGCACCCAGACTACTTCAATGAACTGAAGTGATCTGGATGCCTACAGTGTCTCTTTAACTGTCCTGTATTTAAAAGGAAATTTCAAGTCCTAATAAGTTATGTTTGTATTGTGATGAAAGGGTAACAATTAAGTCTTAACCTGCATTGATTCACTGTATCCTCAACTGTGGTGGACCACCTGGCACCCAGATTGGGTGCCTCCGCCAATTGATGCTCGCTAGTGCTCTGAGTACTTCCAGCACTCCACCAGACTCCATCAGCACCGTAGTCCCCATGTCCAGCATTACAGCTCGGCTAGGATCATTGATGATATTGTAGTTTGGTTAAGCAGAAGGAATAATTTAATCCTCTTAGACGTTAGGCGACTTGTGATCTAACTGACGCTGAATGTCCTCACGCACTGCATGAAGACATCCAGTGTCACTCTAAACCCCATAGGAAAGCATTTTATAAGGGGAAGTTCTAGTTCGCTTGCGACGCTCACTGTTCATGCACACAAGGTCCCTCCGGCAAGGTGGAGCCTAAACCAGCGCAAGGGGACATCGGCACTGGAATCAGGTAAATGATAAAGGTGGGGAGGCTAGAGGGAGGGGGCATTATAGGGAGATGTTTTTCTAGCACTATAGTTTCCCTTTAGTGCTCACAATAGCAAGTGTTTTTTTAACTATTTGCTCTCTGGTTGAGCCAGCAGGTGTTTTGGGAATTTAAAACACGAATGTGGTTTAACAATCCTAACCCGTACTATAACCATTCGGATCCGAGTTCAGGCATTTGATCGTGTCTAGGCAAATTAATATATGGACAAAATTATGTCTCATTTGGTCAGTCAGTATTGCAAAATCTGGGCATTGTTAGTGTGAACAGTATCCATCTTTTGCTGTCTGAACCTGGATGATACTGAATTTTTCCTGATGAACTGTACTGGGAGCATTTGGTGCTTAATGAAAGGGCACATTTTCCAATTTGAGTACTATGGGACTAATATTATTTTAGAATTAACCCCTTGGTTTGCATACCATTATTTGTATCATGTCAAATAATTTACTTTAAAAAAAAAAAAATATGGTGAAAAATTGAAAAGAAAAACATGTTTTTTGACTTTTACTTGAAAAATCTTATACTCATCTTCAAAAGCTAATGAAAAAAACTGCTACAAATATTCAAAATTTTGTCCTCAGTTTAAAAACACCCAGTGTTTACATGCTTTTTTGCAAGTTATATGGCTATAAATACAAGTAGGACATTGCTGTTTCAAAATATATATATTTTTAAATGTATCAATAGTGACATTGTAACACTGTTATCTATCATGAATCTCTGAATCACACCTCACATGTACATATTTTTTTGAAGTAGGCAACCCATGGTATTCAATATGGGGTATGTCTGGTCTTTTTTAGTAGCCACTTAGTCACAAACACTGGCCAAAGTTAGCATTCATATTTGTTTGTGTGTTAAAAATGCAAAAAACAATTATGAACGTTAACTTTGGCAAGTGTTTGTGACTAAGTGGCTACTTCTTTTGCAAATGGTATGCCATCATGGGGGTAATTCTCATTCGCTCTCAAAGGCAACATAACCAATCTGGCAAATTTCAATGTGAAAAAAACCTGAAAATCAGACCTTGTATTTGACCCTGTAACTTTCGAAAACACTATAAGACCTGTACATGGGGGTACTGTTATACTCTGGAGACTTCGCTGAACACAAATATTAGTGTTTCAAATCAGTAAAACGTATCACAACAATATCATCATCATAAGTGAAAGTGCCGTTTGTGTGTGAAAAATGCAAAAGATTTCACTTTCACTGACAATATCATCGCTGTGATATCTTTTACTGTTTTGAAACACTAATATTTGTGTTCAGTGAAGTCTTCAAAGATATCACAGCGATGATATTGTCAGTGAAAGTGAAATCTTTTGCATTTTTCACACACAAACGGCACTTTCACTTATGATGATGATATTGTTGTGATACGTTTTACTGTTTTGAAACACTAATATTTGTGTTCAGCGAAGTCTCCAGAGTATAACAGTACCCCCATGTACAGGTTTTAGGGTGTCATGGAAAGTTACAGGGTAAAATACAGTGCTAGCAAATTAAATTCTCTGGACTTTCGGCCCGGGTTGTCAGGCAGGTCCCTCAAATTGCAATCAATAAAATTACTTAATTATGTAAAAATATTACATAAATACACACGTAGAATTTAAATAAAAATTCACATTTATATATTTAAAGTCTTCATGTATATTTATGAAATTATGTAATTATGTGTATATATATATATATATATATATATATATATAATTTTATTCTAAGTGTATTTTGATATATATATTCATATTAAAATACAGTTACATATATATATATATATATATATATATAATTGAAACTTTTTATTTATTTTTGTCTATTTATATTTTATAATATATATATTATATATATATATATACTCGTGTAATCTAATTATACGTTTATTTTTATATTAATATATGCATATATATATATATATATATATATATATATATATAATATATGTATATATATTTCATACATATATAAAAAAATAAATAATAATTTACTAACATATTTTTATTTTCCAGCAGCAGGGAGACTGCCTAACAGCACAGGCAGTCCCCCCTCTGTTATAATGATCACATGGCCCAAAGGGGCCTAATTTGCCAAGGGGGGGACTGTCTGGGCTGTCAGGCAGTACCCCAGACCGGGAGCAACACCGATCGATGGCGAGGGATCGGGTAAATAATTATGACGGTTAAGGACTGTCATCAGTCCTCAAGGGGATGTTTCTAATGACGGTCCTGAGCCGTCATCGGTCCTCAAGGAGTTAAAGGAACACTGCAGTGTCAGGAACACAAACATGCATTCTTGACACTATAGTGGTAAAATAATAATTTAGGTCCCAGGCCCCCTCTTTTTACATTAAAAAGATGAGTTTACTCACCTTTTTTTCAGTGCTGCATTGGTCTCGCCATGGCTGGCCCCACCTTGCTCCGCCTCAAATTTGACAATCTCACCCAAATGAATGCTTTCACATAGCATTGGGAGGCTATTGTGCTGTGCCAATCTGCATCTCCTCATAGAGATGCACTGAATCAATGCGTCTTGATGAGGAACGTTCAGCGTCTCTATACAGAGTGTGGAGACCCAGGAAGCAACCCTAGTGGCCGTCTGACTGAACTGAAAAGGCAGTGTTTATATTAAAATGCCTGCAGGGACAGGCAGCAGACAGCTAAACAACCACATTAAAGGGACTCTCCAGGCAGAACTTTTTACTCACCTGGTTCGAGCGCTGGGAGCCTCGTGAAGCCACACCCCCTATTTCATCAAAATGACGAAAAAGGCGGGCGTGAGCAATCAGACGCTTCCATTTGCGCATGCGGGGCTTCGCCACACATGCGCACATACTTTGAAGTCCTGAGCGCACTACCGCGCATGCGCACGGCTGCGAGCTGACTGCCAGCTCAGCTCGCGGTCTGTGCCCGCCCCCTCTCCTCTGCTGACAGGCAGGAGTGAGAAGGCGCACACACAGTGCCTCCTCTCTCCTGCACACGTCAGACGTATTTTAATACGTCTGACGTGTACATGGCCTTTTTAGGGCCCTACATGATAGGAAGTCCCTCTGGTGGCCGTCTGAGTGACTGCCACTGGAGGTATTCCTATCAATCAATGTAAACACTTTATTTTCTCTGAAAATACAGTGTTTACATTAGATTGCCTGCAGGGAGCTATAGATCTCACCTGGACAACTACATTAAGCTGTAGTTGTTCAGGTGACTATAGTGTCCCTTTAAGCTGTTGTTTTTCTGGTGACTATAGAGAACGAGTGGGCAGGCAAAGGAAATGTACTAACTTAGATCAATCTCCCAAAAAGGTTAAGAATCGCTCCAATACACTATTCCAGTTTTATTCTTCCAGTTTTCTTACTGAGGACTTATTTTAACAACTGATGATGACATCTCCTTAAATGGCACAATATTTGACAATTTTGCTAAAGTCAATGGGTTTTAAATGATCCTCCAGCCCATGTAGCTTGGTAGACAATGCATGGACCGAGCAGTCAGTGCAATACTGATATAAATACACCTATTTGCCCTACAGCTGCTCTTATACTATAAACCTCTATTTAGCACTATAACCCTTTTCATACATAGTGGTTCATAAGTTGTTGCATGTTATGTGCTGGGGCACTTTTGATTGGCTCCACCTGCTGGAATGTTCTGCCATTGCAGCCTTACCTGCAGATTATGACCAGGTGTAAATGATTGAACTGGAAACTGATATGGACCTAATGAAAAGCCATTGCTTCACTTCACCTGGAGGAAATACAAAAGGTAGAGTGTTCATAAATATTTATTGTAGAGTAGAAGCTAGGTCAGTTATTCAATATGTGAATTAGAAAAGAGGGGATAAGGGGGGAAATATTAGCACATTCACAAATTAATGCTGTAATGTGTACGTATATTATTTTTTTTGTTTGTTTTATGGTCAGAAAGATAGTTCCCTCTAGATATTGTACTTGTGAATGTATACAGCAACATTTCAGTGAGAGTTTCATTGCCCTGCAGGGTGTATACATTATATAAATGAGTTTAAATGAGTGTGTAATAAAGTGATAAAAATCTCACTATAGGCTCATGGTACAATAACAATGTCACTGTATCAGCCAACTATGCAGAATGTCAGTCCATCTCTTTCAATAGCTGTGGTTTTTAGACTTTGAATATTTGTACTGAAAAACTGTTAGTTTTAAATACTCCACAATTTAATGGATAGATCACAGATGGGGGAGTTTGAAAACTCAGACCAAATCAGTCAAGT